AAGGTAGGTAAGGTTCGTTGCATTGGCTATACCTTGGGTGCTTGATATTTCGGCACCTTTGCGTTTGCCGCTGCTTCGGCATATGATTTGCGGTCTTCCAACAGGATTTTCTTTATTTCCCTGACTTCTTTTAATATGACATTATTTTCTATCTGTTCCTTGTTTTGGTCAATATTTCCCTTCTTATTCGAACAGTCGTTTGGCGATGTAGTATACTTCAGTTTAGTTTCCATCTCTTGTATTATTTTATACATTCCTTCTAAACTCTCTTCCATCTGCTGCTTTATATCCTTCCTCAAATTTCCTGAGACTTTCATCTTTTCTTTAGCGGCATCGTACAGGTTCCACGCTCTTTTCATAAAAGGCTGATCCTCTGAGGGAGGTTGCTGCGATTGCATTATTACCTCCGTTAGGTTTTTTCGAGCCTTTGGTTTTACCTGGGTTTTGAACCTGTCCGAATCTTCCATTTGAGACCCCAGTATCGGTGTTTTTTGTGTCGGCGTTCGACACGTCATCATAAATTAGTTAAATCAAGGTTAGGTTAGGGCTAGGTTAGGTTTTGAAAAAAATTAAATTTTAAAGCCTTGTAGAATTTTTATCTTAAACGTTAAATTTATGAATTAAATGTTATCTAAAGCCTTAAAGATCCTAATATTTTTCAGTTTTTGAAATAATTGATTAATCTAAGTATTTTATTTTTTACACTTAATTTATAAAAATTACAGTATAAATTTTTAATTAGGCAATTTAAAATTACTTACAGCTAGAATTTAATGAATTTTTAATATTGATAAGATAGTAGTACGTTAACCAAATAGTTCTGAACAGAATTACGAAAATCGAATAAAAACTGGAAGAGTTATGAATTTTGCAATTATTTTTACAAAATCACCCGTATAATTTTGGTGCCTGGGTGTTTATCGCTTACTCAGGTACCGAATGGGTGCCCGGACGTAAGGAAACTTATGTGCTATAAAAAACTAAAATTAAACAGAAAATGATTTTTTTATGAAATAATTAAAATTTGAAAATGTTTTGTCCTATACAAAAGACATCAACGCAATCTTTGTTTACATTGATTTCACGAAATTTACTACAAATTGCTACAAAAAGTGAAAAATTGAAATATTTTGAAAACTATTGAATTTGACTGTATTTTTATAACGGATTAAGGTCTAACAAAAAATCTACAATCTGCCTACAAATTTTTAGGAAAATTGGGGTAATCTTAGCGTACGAAAAAGACCGTGGGTCGATGGGTTTTGGCCTGTGGCACCTTGACAGATATCAGGCAATGGTCTGATGAACCTAGCGGAGCTCGAACCACAACCTGATACTCCTGCGGATGGGTCGTAAGCAGAAGGTCTAGTAAAGAAGGCGCTTGACTTGCGCTGGGATCCTGGTGGGCTGATCAACCAGTTGTGTCAAGTCATGCGTGAGAGCGAATGCATGGGCAGAGATCCCTGCATGGTCAGTTTTGGAAGAGCCAAGCCACAAACCGTGGTGGGCGTTAAAGTCTCCCAAAAACACCAGTTCTGCGTTGGGAAATTGCGCCTGGGCATCATCTGCTACCCTACTGAGGTGGTCAAACAGTCGAGTTGTCTCAGCGTCGCCGGTGTGAGATCTGTAGAGGCACACGTAGACTCTGGCCAAAGGACCAGAGTTTACATGTACCGCCAACATGGAAAAGGAGGGGTCTTCCAGGCAGCTGAAACGGCGACAACAAACATCCGCCCGAACATACAGGCATACGCCGGCTTTTGCTTTGAAGGATTCTTCAAGCGCGTAGCCGGGATATTTAAGGTAGCCTGTGTCAGCGGGCGGAAGTATTTGTGTCTCCGTGAGAAACAATAGTGCTGGCCGTGCTGTCTCAAGATGGTGGTGGACAGCATTGAGGTTAGAGTGGAGTCCGAGTATATTACAGAACTCAACCTCAAACAGCGCGGAAGGCGAGGGGGTGTGCACCGCTGTACAACCAAACTTTATTTTACGGGCTGCCATCATGAGAAAAAAGTTGAGAGACGTGAATCGAGTGGAGTTAGTCGCGGCTAAGTCAGGCAAATATGTGAAGGCACGTTTTCCCGAGTAACTACGAGCCTAAGAAAGAGATACGCCGACCCAACGGACGGAAGGGCCCCCGCACCCTCCCGGGAGTGGCCGCCGGGACCCCACGCCCCGGTCACCAACCGGCACGACGGTCCACCCCGAGATTATGCGTGACATGATGGGGCAGCCTCGCGAACTGGTTAGGAACGCTCGGGCCCCTGTACTGTGCCACGGGCGGCCAGCTTGACAGCCGTTTCTACGGGTCTCCCTGGCCGGTGGGTCGATGCAGTCCTCCCGGCATCGGTTCGACGAATGCCTCCACTGGACCGAATCTGTCGCGGCAATCTCCACTCGAGCTCTGGTTGTACGCTGGCTGACCCCGAAACGCGCGTGAAGCACTTCACGGGTTTTTCACCATGCGTACGGTGGTAACAAACCAGGCGGGTGTTAGGCACCCTACCACCAGAAGAGCAGATGGAAGCTCTGATATCCCTCAGTCGCTTCTTACGACACCCGCGGGAAGTGAAGGGGCGGCGAGTGGTATTCTTTCTCCGTCACCGCACGGATAAAACCCACCCGTCACTTCATCGGCAAAGCGGACTCTAAACCAAGAGATCAGTAAGCACGTACGACACGACCTCCGATGCTCCAATACTCTCTCGATCGAGAGAGCGATCGAGCAGAATCGAGGGTCTAAAGTGTTCGTACAATTTCTTGGAAGAAGCCATCTGACGAAGTTGACCACAGCAAGTGGGAAAGTTGTTGCTTCAAAGCCGGCAGTCCTTTCGGAAGTGGAAGACTTCTACAGCCAGTTATACGCATCACATGCATCTCGACCCGATCTCGGAAATGAGGATTCTAGAGCCACATTAACACGCCACTTCACCGAAGACCTGCCAGAAGTCAGTATTGGCGAAATCGAGATTGCTCTTGGACAGCTTAAAAATGGAAAAGTCCCTGGAGAGGATGGTGTTACAACAGAACTCTTGAAGGCTGGAGGTAAACCCGTACTGAGGGAGCTCCAAAAGCTTTTTAACACTGTCCTGTTCGAAGGGAGAACTCCGGAGGCGTGGAGTAGGAGTGTGGTCGTCTTGTCCTTTAAAAAGGGGGACAAGACCCCACTTAAGAACTATCGACCCAATTCCCTTCTAAGCCACGTCTATAAGCTGTTCTCAAGAGTAATCGCGAACCGTCTTGCGCGAAGATTTGGTGACTTCCAACCACTGGAACAGGCTGGGTTTCGGAGCGGATACGGCACCATAGACCACATCCACACAGTGCGGCAGATTATACAGAAGACTGAAGAGTACAATCAGCCCCTGTGCCTCGCATTTGTGGACTATGAGAAGGCCTTTGACTCGATTGAAATCTGGTCTGTCCTGTCCCTGCAGCGTTGCCAAGTCGACTGGCGATACATCCAAGTGATAAGATGTCTCTACGAAGCCGCTACCATGTCTGTCCAAGTACAGAATCAGCAAACAAGTCCCATACCGTTGCATCGTGGAGTGAGACAAGGGGACGTTATTTCCCCGAAATTGTTCACTAATGCAATGAAGGATATGTTCAAGACGCTGAACTGGAAAGGACATGGCATTAACATAAATGGCGAACGCATCTCTCACTTGCGATTTGCAGACGACATCGTCATCATGGCAGAAACCCTGCAGGACCTACAACAGATGCTGAATGACCTGGCTGACTCTTCTTTACGCATCGACCTACGGATGAACTTGGATAAAACCATCGTCATGTTCAATGAACATGTTCTACCGGAACCGATTGCAATACACGGTGCCGTTCTCGAAGTTGTTCAAAAATATGTATACCTCGGGCAGACATTGCAGTTAGGTAGAAACAACTTTGAGGACGAGGTGAATAGAAGAGTTTAGCTAGGTTGGGCAGCTTTGGGAAACTACGTCAAGTCGTGATATCGTCGATCCCACAGTGCCAAAAGACGAAAGTCTTCAATCAGTGCGTCCTACCTGTGATGACATACGGAGCCGAGACGTGGACACTGACGGCACGGCTGGTACACAGGTTTAAAGTCGCTCAGCGCGCTTTGGAAAGGGCTATGCTCGGCGTTTCTCTGAAAGATCGCATCAGAAATGAGGTAATCCGACAGAGAACCAGAGTTATCAACATAGCCTACCGGATTAGCAAGTTGAAGTGGCAGTGGGCTGGCCATATTTGCCGAAGAACCGATAACTGTTGGGGTAGACGAGTTCTGGAGTGGAGACCGCATCTAGGCAAATGTAGTGTAGGACGTCCTCAGGCACGATGAAGTGACGATTTGCGCAAGGTGGCTGGCAGGAGCTGGATGCGAGCAGCCCAAGATTGATCTGAGTGGCGTGCATTTGGAGAGGCTTATGTCCAGCAGTGGACTATGATAGGCTGTTGATGATGATGGTGATGATGCAAAATTTACTATACAAATTTATGGTGAAAGAAATGATTAGCGATTGGTCATATTTACGAACAAGAACCCTGCCGGAGGAAGTTCAACAGTATTTGTAACTGTGTGTTTTCACCAAGACTTGTACTAGAAGGAACAAGCGGGCTCCTTTACTGGTCAGCTGCTCTGAAATGAAGACAGGAGTATCTTCTTTAGTTGTATATCCGAGATGTTTAGCTTGAAGTTTGTTTTTTTTTTATTAAATTAAATGATTTGATACTTTTCAAAAGGTTATTTTTAAGATTACTGATCGTAGTTCTATTATAATTGGGGTATTATGACCAATACCCTCTCTCTTAGTCTGTAACCTGAAAATGTCCTTTATATCACGTGATTCTATATCGGGATTGGTTGTTTTGACTAAGCTGAGTATTATGTTGATCAGGTCTTCTATGAATTCAAGTTCACGTTCTTGTTTTGGTACATTTTTATTTTGATACTAGTTTTGCGCAGGGTCTCTGTAAATCTTTAAGTTTGTTCTTCAGAACTAGGATATACTCACGATCTTTCTTGGCTTGGCCCTCGAGACTCTCAATTTTTTGTTGGAATTGTTCATTTTGACTTGTGAGCAAAGCAATAGAATTTTCTATGTTGTAGTTGGTTAGCTGTGTTTCCTTCAAGTCATCAATAATTCCCTGTGTTTGGCTTTGTTGGGTAGATATAAATGAAGTAAACAGCTCCCTCATTTCATCCTTTTTATTAAATTCCGCAGGCAAATCTTCTTCTATCATTCTCTTAGGGCGGTATAGAGGAAAATTTGGAGGAGTATTTTCGTTATCCATTTCGCTTACATTTGATGCCGTGACAGATTTATTCATCATCTGTGTTCTTTTAACCGAATATCGACTGTTCACAATGAATGTTCTCGTAGCACGCGTGTTACAGTTGACTATGGACACAGTTACGGAGCTACGATGAGCACTTAAGCAGGTAAAGCAAGGAGCAATTATGTCAACCGTCTGTTTCGTGTTGCTGGTGGCGTTCGCGGACAGTTACAACGGAGCGAGAAAAGGATAGAAAGTACTGTCACAATACATTTGTACCTTGAATAAACAGTTCAATGTATGCAGGGGGGCGCTGTTTTCTTCCGGAATTTGAGCGATAATGATACTCATTGCAGAGCCACGGGACACACGTCCACTCACGACCAAGACACAAAGACGAGTGGAATTCCCACACACTTCTTTTTTATTCGTCATAATTAGCGCTGACATTAAAATTCACTCTCATAAACAGAAAAGAAATGAATAAAACTGATGTTTCAATGCTTCTTTGCAGCCGAGCCGACACCGAGAAGTTACAGCCTGTCCGTCGTGATATGGTTAAAACAATGAATGCTCAGAACGCGTCATGGCTTTTCTTCATTGCCACAACGCGTTGAGATCGAATAGCATGTCAGCCACGACACGAATTTCGCTATTTGGTCTTTCTGTGATTGCCACAACGCGTCGTGTGGGTTTTCATTAGAGCCATAACACGAATTTCGCCATGTGGATGTTTTACTGTGACCACAACGCGTTGTGAGCTATTTTTCCGCTCACTGAGCGTTTTCGATCTTGAGCGTAACATATACATAAAAATAAACTTAATTCTGCAAAGTTGAAATTTATATATGTGTTTGTTTAAGCGATTTAAAGTAGTAAGTACTTTAGTAGGTAGAATGCCTGGTTCTGGCTAGCACAAGTCCTTGCCAGGCGAGGGGAAAGATGCTGCGGCAGTGCGAGTAAGAGTCATAGTATGAAAACTTACTTATCTTAAAACTGCTCATAATTTGAAATTAATTAACGTTAATTAATATATATTTGGTAGTGTGCATGTTTCTGTGAAGTTATCCGTTTGTAATAAGATTATTTAGTTTTCAAAGTCATCGATGGATGGCGTTACTGTTGTGTTCTATATTTTTCTATGATTGTTCTGATCCACGGTAATATTATTTTTTGTTTTTAATACGCTTAAGTTTAATATTATTTTGAAATAGACAACCTTTGCTATTGATCACGCTGTCTTATTTAGCTAAATAACTCACAGACTTTTTGGGACTTGAACACTGTGGGTAGTCAAATCATTATTTTGGTAGCTGTCTATTAGAATACCTCTATAAATGCTATGCATGTGATTTTTTGTATTTGTATCTTCATTTCCTTACCTACAATTTTATTAGCGCACTAAAACTGAGAAAACTATTGACTTGAAAAATCTGGAAATATATATATAGGTAAATATACGATAATAGTACTTTTTATAAACTTGTAATGAAAATTATAACGGTTAAGATAGATCAGTTAGTATAAGAGTAACAGTTGCTCAAGTTTTGTATTAGAAAACTTTAATTTCTTATCTAATAAAATTTCCTTAGTAAAAAACATTAACAAATTTATAAAATCGTTAACATTAACATCTTTACGATTTTATAAAGAGTATGGAATTATTATGGATGAATAATCTGAAATAACTATTATTATTAATATAGGAGCACTTGAAACGTATAGTACTCGCTAGCCGCTGTGCAGACGTGCCCTGCATCGTGTCCGCATCCCGTATCCGTGACACGTGATATTTTTCGTCGGTAGCACGTTCGACCTTTCACCGACCCCCATGATTCGGCCCGTCGTGAATCGATTTTTGACGCAGTTTTCACTACGGTAATTGATTTGGAAGGTCTTCTTATTACACATTGAAAAGAAGAATTGCCCACGGCCGAGGGACCCGCTCCCAAAAAATCCGCCGGGCAGTGTTCTCTGCTGTGGTCAGCACACCGCGCATTGCGCGCCCGCGGTCCCGCCTTACTAGGAATGATAAACCTCCGCCCGCTGCTGTACTCGCCCCTCCCGCACCAAACTCATGCCGGAAGGTGGTTGCTTCTCAGCTACCGACGCCCTCTCCCGCAGTCCCGCCTAAAAACCCTCCTCAAGGGCTCTCCAAGCCGCCAGCGGCTCAACCCACCAAGCCCGCCCCCGCAACCGTGTCCTGTCCGCAAAGTGACGGCCCTTGGCTCTGGCTATTCTGACGTGGATATCAAAATCGCCACCGCAAAAACCCAAAGACCGCTGTCACTAGAGCATACGACACCTACCCCACGGATGATGTAGCCTGCTGTTTAGGTGCGCATGAAGGGAATGCGGGAGCTTAAGTGGGACGAACTACTTGAAGAGATCTCGCAAGCTCACCAAGCTTATTGGAAGCTGGCGAGATTATTCAAGTCAGAGGTCAAATCCTCTATGCCACCCCTGATAAACCATTTTCGAGGACGGGGAGAAAAAATGCATTATATCCACGACAATGACCAACGCTGCGTTAGCTTGCTGTGAACAAACTCTCGCGACGCAGGTAATTGTGTGGTGCATTCGGCCTGCGGCGAGCAGCTCATGGGCTGCACTAGTCGGTGCAGGTATACTTTGACGTGTGCTCACGCAAGCGTGGCAGCCTTTAAACCATCCTGCCTCCGACCAGCAACCCGACCCGCACCCGCTTCAGCCGATCCTGGGCTTCTCCGTTCACAGCATCACTTGACTAGTCCCACGTACCGTAGTCCGAGCGGCTAGCCAGCCGACCTGCTCCCGTACCTACCAGATAAACTAACTCCCCGATCTATCCCTCACCCTCCAGGCGTAACTCCGGGATCCAGTTACGAGTCGCAGCTTGTCACGCCTGGGTTACCCCAGCTCGCCTAGCACTCTTCCCGTCCCTCACGAATACGTCCAGTCAGTCGACTCGAAAGTCAAAAAGTCCTCCTCCGTGCCGCCCAACGCCCTTGAACCGGCCACTGTAGATGAGATGCACATGTTATCCTCCGCCTCCGCGATCCTCACAGGTGCTTTTCTTCCACGTGGCGAAATTATTTGACAAAGTCTGGCACAATGCCTTAATTTATAAGCTAATATTATTAAGGGGAAAGATTTGAGTGTTTGTTTATATTGAATTGGCTTCGAAACTACTGGATCAATTTGAAAAAATCTTTCATATTTAGAATCCTAATTAAAGTTATGTACTAAAGTTATATAGAGGACATCAGTATCTAAAATAGATTCCACGAAACCATTATGTCTAACTATTACAGCTATGTCACAACTAGAGGTCCACTGCGGTTTCACCCGCGTTCATTTGAGGAAAAAAGTTATAGTGTGACAAACTTCAAAGATGGACATAATATGCTGACGCAATTTTCTTATAGAACTTCTAAAGGGAAAAGATTCCGGCATACATTGTTTTCCTGTAACTTTAACCGTTAACCCAGCGCACAGAAGGGAAGCTCACAGGTGTAGTGGCTCAAATCCGCTACCGCAACCGCTCCGCTTGTTAAGTGGGACCACACATGGAAATCATACGATGTGACGTCACAGGGACCGGTCTCAGAGCCGTCTATTGTTCCCGCGCCTGCAGTAGCAAGATGGATACTTGTGGTGTGCCGTCATTACCCAACGGGCTGTAGTGACCACACCTACGACGGCATAACACCTCTTAATTCAAGGTGGTGAGCCTCAGTGACGCCACTCTTCTTCAACACCATGTGGGTGGTGCCGAGCTTGGCCTCTTCACTAATGCCTCTAGTGTCCATGTCGGATCCTGCCTCCAGCAGAAGACCGACGGAGAGTGGGTATCTCTTGCCTTCTTCAGCAAAAAGCTGACTCCTCGGCAGTCGCAATGGCCTGCATATCACAGAGAACTCTTGGCAGTGTATGAAGGCGTACAGCATTTTCGGCATATCTTAGAGATCGAACACTGTACCATCTACACTCACCACAAGCCACTGCTTTACGCCTTCATACAACGCCGGGATAAACTTCCCCCTCCCCAATTGAACCAGCTGTCATTTATCAGCCAATTTACGACTGATATTAAACACATCAATGGGAAGGACAATGTAGTGACAGATGCTATGTCTCGCATTAATTCTGTTTCCTTAGAGCAGGGCTACATAGCTCTTTTACAGGCACAGCAATCTGACGAGGAGTTAGCAAACTCAAAAGACGCATGGAATTTGAAATGGGAATCGGCTCCGATCCCTGATACCGACGTCACCTTGCTGTGTGACACGTCGACAGGTTGGCAAATCCTTATTTTACACTGCAGTTTTGTCGTGCCGCATGGGGCACAAACATCTGCTCGTTTGGTATCCCAGCGCTACGATTGCCAAATATGAACAAAGATTACCACGAGTGGGCACGGCGCTGCATTCAGTGTTAGAAAAATAAGGCGTCACGGTATAACAAATCACCCTCTGGTCAATTCCACCTTCCATCCGGTCGCTTCAGCCGTATTCATACCGATATCATCAGTCCTCTTCTATTCTCCAACGGGTTCAGCTACTGCTTGACGGCTATCGACCGTTTCACCCGTTGGCCAGAGGCTTGGCCGATGTTTTTGATACCGGCGGAAGAAGTTGCCGAGAAATGGATGCTGGGCTGGGTTGCACGATTCGGGGTGCCAAGTATCATCACCACTGACGAGGGGCGTCAATTCGAGTCATCCTTGTTCCAAGAGCTTATGCGCTTTTGTGGCTCCAAACACGTTCGCCCCACTAGTTACCACACCACCCCTGCGCTAATGGCATGGTGACGCGAGTTCATCGGCAACTGATGGCAGCCCTGATATGCCACGCGGAAACGTGGACCCGGGCTCTGCCACTTATTTTTCTCGGCATGCAGACGGCGTTTAAAGAAGATATCAAGTATTCGTCTGCCGAATTGGTATACTGTGAGACACTTCACCTCCCCGGTTAATTTGTAATTCCTTCTTCAACTCCAGCGAGCTCTACAGACTTCACAGATTTTGAGTTCCAACT